TTTCCCTGAAGAATTTCTTCCTTCTTTCCCTTTCCTCTTTCTCACTAAGTAATCCAAGGCCTATCCTACTGTTTACTTAGTTTATGCTTAAGTTTCTTTCTTGTAGTTAAGTATAATACTGCCTGTTAGAAGTTGTTATATGCCCCTTTTCCTTGTTATCATTAAGTAACACGCAGTTTGCGGTAGTTTGTTGTACACCTAGTCCTTTCCTGGTTATCATTATGTCAGTATGTTATCAGTATGTTGCCTGCCCTCATGTGTCATGTAAATAAAACCAATTATCATAAGTTTGATCTATATGCTGTGAGAAGTTAATAAATGTTTATTATGGAACTTGAGACTTGTCTCACCATTGTCCACTCCGTTGGGGAATTACGAACCTAAGTCACTTGTCCCCCTCTCCTGGGCGGGATGTGACAGCTTGTGAGAGTGCCAGTCCTTCAGCGTAATCCCAGCCACTCCCAAAAGCAGCCTTTAAGAAATCCTCTGTTGCAAGCAAAGTATTTCAGAGCACCTAGGTCACAGCCCAGAGCCCCAAAGAAGGTCTATGTGAGGTTGTAGTAGTATCTTCACCATGTTCTCTGCATGCAAGGTTTCCTCTGGTAAAAGTAAAACTTGTTTATCCTGTGCCTTATTGGAGAGTCTGCCTTTTAAATGCCTTTCAGGTTTCCTTTGAAGGACACAAATAGAAGCAAAGTATCGAAAGAGCAGGATCTACTTTCCTTAGAGACCAGCTGCACAGTCCAACCAAAAGTCACTTCCTCACTTCTTCAGATTTGCTTAATGCCTCTATCAGCCAACTGGAGAAAATATAAGAACCTTATAATAATTTCAAAATAAAGTTAACTTTCTGGTTGAAAGTACAGTTCACATGCCATAAATCAGGAATTAATTAAGGATCATAAATATTCTCAAACCTAGTGAAAAAATTAGTCTAATACTATCACAGAATTTTCTTGTTTATGCTAAATTTCATTATAAAATAAGGCCACTTAAAAAGGAACCACAATGCCTTTCTCTCTATATAAATGAACTAAAATTGTGCTAAGAAAGCATCAGCTCTATTACATTACCAATGTACAGCTCTCTGAAGAGAACTTTGTTGCTCTAAGGCAGGTGCTTTAAGGTAACTCAAGGAGTAAGTGTACTAGTACACAGTCATGAAAAGAAAAATAAAAAGCTTCTTTAGATGTACCATTTAAACCAGCTATTCTACTGCACTCATCAGTAAGGCAACATTCTGATGACACAAATATCTTCTCTTTGCGAACATACATTGAATATACATCAAAATATATTATCTGTAGACCAATTCTACCACTAATTTCAAAAAAAGACTGTGTGAACTCCTGATTCCTTTGTTGTTGATTTCTTTAGTAATTTTAAATGGCCATAATAAAATGTGTTTAGATCCAAATTAGACAAAAATGTTACAGAAATCACCAATCCACTCCTTTTCTTTTAGTAGTAGTGACATGACTTCATAAGAAGGAAATAAAATAAAAGCTCTACTAAATATTGGCACTCTCGGAGCATTTACAGCAGAAGTTCCAACAACTCAATTAATGCATCTGAGCCAAATCCTGCTCCTGCATCTTCTCAGATCAACAGAAATTTAATTTTCAACATCTATAGGAACAGAATTAGGCTTTTTGATTTAAACGTCCATGGAGTGACAACATCCAGAAATCTTCACCACAGCTGTCATGACATTCAAATCAAAATTTTCATGAAAGATTCCTCAATTGAATTAGCAATTAAACGTCTTACATACCAATAATGTCCTATTAAAATGTAACTTAGCTAAAGGGATCTGATGTACCCAGGAGGCAGCTCTGCACACATGTGGAGGAAGCTACAGAAAAATTTGCAAATGGTTCGACAGTTATGAAGTCTGGCAAGCAGCAGAAATCACAGCTCAGAAAATGACAAGCACCTGCATATAGTACTGCTTAAGCTTTTTGTGTGTGTGTGTATGTGTGTGAAATAACCGCTAATAAAAATGAGTGGCTAGCTGACGTTCCTTGGACCAAGAAGAAAAGTCATTTTTCAGCCCAGTGCCCAATGATCAGATCAAGGAAATTTTTTGGTTAATTCCTTCCCTTTCCAGTACGTTGCACTCTTGACTACACAGTGGCACGGCTCCAGGGGCAAAAGGATCACAGCCCGAGCAGTGATGGGCTGAAAACTAACACCCCTCAGGGAGGGGAAATCAGCATTCGGAGCTCAAGTATCTCCCTTCTTACCGAAAGCTCGAACTACGCTATTATAGGAAAGGTTGTCAGCGTAATGAAACTTCTAAGCATCTTCCAAAGACAAGAACCATTTACATCTCAAAACCCACATGAAAGCAGATTTAGTCACCTAAGAGCAAGCCGTGGTTCTGGGTCTGAACTCCAGTTTGCTTAGCTTGCAGCATCAATTATATATATATAGTCTTAAAATAATTGCAGAGACAAACCTCTCCATGCTCTGCTCAGCATACTGAGAACTGTAAAACCCACTCAGGGCTGTAAACAACTCTGGTACCCACATCAGCATTGTTTAGTTCCACAGCAAGCCCCTAATGTTATCAACAGGTCATTCGTAACTGTGAATTATTCAAATGTCATTATGAATTGCCCATGCCTTCCCTACCACATCAAAGTGATTCCCATCCGTCACGGTCTGAACTTCTAAAGAGCTCCATAAATGCCAAGAATTGTCAAAAATCTCTACATAAGCCTTAGAGATCAAAGATGGGTACTGAGAATCAGAAAATACACACAAAAGTCTGGATTTGAATCAAGTTGAGCCTCAACTCTCAGATTTCAAAAGTGAAAAATCTCCCTCGTAACAATAATGTGTGGCAAATACAGAGGCAAGAAGCAGCACGTATATATTTATTCCCCATCATCGTCCGGCAGGGACTAAGCAATCTCAACCTCAGCGCAAGGCTTGGTGCACGGAGAATCCCATGGGCGGCTCAGACACTGAGTGGCAAGGATGAACAGTAAGCTGCTTTCTAATACCCATCATTTACCCCATGGACCAAATAAAACAGGGATCCAGCTGAACATCAGCCAGCACCAAGGCTACAAAAGAGAGGCATTCATACAAGGAACTGAGATTTTGCTATCTTGGGAAAAAAAAGATCTTAATATTTATTAAGAATTGATTTTTATAAACGAAAATTAACATTAAAGTAGCTTTCCACATTTGACTTTGCATAGTTTGTAAAAGTACTGTACTTTGGAATGAGTAGTCGTGTTGAGTGAGTTATGCATTACATAAATACACCAGGCAATGGGCACAAAGGCCAATATGAGAACTGCCAAGTTCAGTTACTGAGTAGATTCTAATACATGATTTTTTCAACCCACTTAAATACTCAAATATATCTGACAGTAAGCACCAGTAAGCATCTTCTAAAAGATCTTGCTGTCACACTGTTTTTAATTATGAAATGCATTTTCTCAGTTCCATTTAGTATCATGAAAACGATACTCCTGGTGAGAACTGTTGGACACTCATCACACTTGAAAAACAGGTACTTATGTAAGGACACAGGATATCTAATTTTAGGCCCTTTTTTCCTAAGTAGTCTCAGATATCATTTACAGAGATTTTTGCCATCAGATGAACCTCATACACCTAGGAAATTCAAAAGCAGGCTAAAACAATGCCTGTTATGTGTGTTTTCTGCACATTGCCTAATAAAATTAGATTCCGTTTAAAATATCTAGAGGATTAGGGGACAAAAGGGGGAAAAATGTTCCCTTTCATGTCCCCTGTTTTGTTTAGTTTTTTAAAGATGTCCTGCAGTTACAAAAGATTAGTACTTAAGAAGAGTAGGAGGTGAATCATAGAATCATAGACTGGCCTAGGCTGGAAGGGACCTTAGAGATCATCTTGTCTAACCTCCCTGTCATGGGCAGGGACGTCTCTCAACTAGATCAGGTTGCTCAAGGTCTCATCCAACCTGGCCTTGAACATCTCCAGGGATGAGGCATCCAAAACCTCTCTGGGCAATCTATTTCAGAGTCTTGCCACCCTTGTACTGAAGAATTTCTTCCTAAGATCCAGTATAAATCTATTCTCCTTCAATTTAAATCCATTTCCCCTTGTCCTATCAGTGGACATTCTTGTAAAAAGTCCCTCCCCAGCCTTTCTGTAGGTTCCCTTCAGGTATTGGAAGGCAGCTATTAGGTCCCCTCGAAGTCTTCTCTTCTCCAGGCTGACCAATCCCAGCTCCCTCAGCCTGTCCTCAGAGCAGAGCTGCTCCAGCCCCTGGATCATCCTTGTGGCCCTCCTCTGGGAGTGTTCTGTTCTTTTAGAAACACCTTAAAAGTAACTTCAGGTGTTGGAAATATTGGCCAAGAGCCTACCTGCTGATTGCAGAAGTTGACCTGAAACTACTAGGCACTGTATGTTAACCTTTTTAAGTAGCTACGCAGAAATTATCCACATCTGAGGAAAAATTAACATGAAACCTTAATTCAAGCATCACATCTCATTAGTATAAGGAAGTGTAACTTTCTCATGTGATCAGGAGAAATTTGTCATACATGGAACATTCTCTCAGGGATGTGCAAGACTTACTTACAAGACAATGTCAGCAAAAACCATAATGTTGTGTAACAAATAAAAAGGCCCTGTGTATATATTTCCTTGGACGGAAGAGTGTTTCAGTTAAACAACTGGTATGTTCTCCTCTGCTGCAATAAGAATAAAAATAAATTCAGGGAAGACTAAATCAGTATTTTACTGCATAAACCATAGAAAGCCCAAATTGCAAGGACTGTAGCTCACGTCAATTTAATGGCATTGTCAGTCAAGAAAGTGTAATTCCAAATAGCATGCTTGTGAAATATTTTATGAAATCCTAAACTGTATTTTTTTCAATACCCATACCTTCAGACGAGGCAATACATTCTACCTAAGCCCTCCAGATGGCCTTCAAGAAAAGTGAAAAGTGGACTAAACCAATTATACCAGGAGAACAGGAACTTGCCAAACACCCTTTTCTAGAGGCCACTTTGAAGTGAAAGGAACTCACTCGTGTTCATACACTGTGGGAGTGCACACCAATTATACCCTCTCTGGGGAAACACAAACCTAGAACATCCGAGATCAACTATAGCTTGCAAGCATAAAGGACCCTGCCACTTGGTAGGAAAAGAAGTCCATGGTACACAGACCTCTTCTGACAATAGCTTAACCTATTTGGGCCACTCATGAAAAACAGTAAAACCATCAGAAGAAAAAGCTAAGCAGCACTGACATAAAGTAATTGCTTTTTCTTACTCTTCCAAGAAAAGCATGTGAATAATTTAACTTCTAAAAAAGCATTTTAATCAACAACGAACAATAAAAATCTCATTCCTTAGTTTTGAAATATTTCTTATTCTGAATACCATCATATGTTTTAAAACCACACTTCTGAAACAAATGCAAGCAGGGCTGATGTAGAAATCATTTTTCTTTGGAAGATTATTCATATGATAACATGGGATCAGAGCAAGATCACCAAGCAGTGATTCCAGAGGGCTTCCAGTCAGGCGTGCAGCTCCTTGCACAGTCTCAAAGAAAACATGTAAGAGGACACGCTGAAGAAGGAGACCAGACCTGTTTTTACCACAATGGCATTTAGAGCTGGAAGGTTTACCCAGTAAGACAGAAGTCTTTAAAACATGATCTCTTCATCTTTGTGACCACAAGAGAAAATGCTCGATGTTCAAACTGCAGCTAGTCAGAGCTACTGGGGAAAAAATAATACAGCTCTTTTCAACAACTTAAGCTTCCACTGTCTATAGTAATTAAGAGAGGAACATGTTTTCACTTTACCACAGTCATCTAGCTATGAAGGAAAGGAATTCAGGTCTATGGAATGGAGTAAAGTGAGAGTAGCACCAGATCTCGTTTTACTCTCTCAAAACCCAACGAATCGGACAATACTGGAAAAATCAAAGGGAAAAAACGGCTACAGACACACTCTACTGGAAACTATTACAAGAAGGACAAAATATCTGGCTGCTATAACTCATGTATTCCCCGTGCCAAAGTATGCAGACTGATCATGTAAGAATTTTTTCCTGTGTCTTCAAATATTGCCACACAATTCCAAACACAATGATGATGACTCTGAACTCAGACAAACGTATTCACTTTGTTTGTTACTTACCAGCTCCGTGTGAACTTTCAGATGTGCCTGGAGCTTGTATTTATCTGGAGTAGAGTAGTCGCAATGTTCTGTGGGACATTTCAGCAAAATATTACTGTGCTTCTGAATGACGTGACGTTTAAGGCAGTTTTTGGTGATGGAAGAATAATTGCACTGGGAGCAGTAATATAAATGCTCTCGAGTATGCGTACGAACATGCATGTCATAATGCACTTGGTACCAAAACAACTTGCCTGGAAATAGAATCAGACATGGAGAAAGTAATTTCTAAATAATTCTTAGTAAAAATTCCAATACACACACAAATTTCTTTCAGGGTAAAACACAGTTTGAATCTTGTCCCTTCTGTCTGTAAGGAAAACTTGTTCTAGAGACCGTTTGCTAATGAAAATATGTTTACAAGAACAACTTTCGTCTAAAAAAGACTGTATCATATGTCCTGAAATAGCCAAACAAGAGCAACTTTAAGACACATCAATGATCATCTTCCTAAGGAAAAAATCCTCACAATCTGTTCTCCTGTCCAAAGAATCTCAATTCAAATGTACACTACACCTTTCATGTTGCTCCTTCTTAAAAGCCTTTCTGATATAATGGCACCAAAAAGTGTATAGAAATTCAACTAATGTAAAAAGTTATGGTGTCTCAAAAGTTTTCATTTCTTTTCAACTTTGATTCCTTTCCCTTCCCAAGAACAAAGAGTGCAAGAGAAATTCCTTTCCAGTTAAGTAAATAGAAAATAAATCAGTTAGAATAAATGGTGTATTACTCTCACTTTCATATATTTAAAAAAAAAAACAAATTTAAAAGAATCACAGTCAGAACGGTCTTGATCCAATACTATGCAATGAAAATTTTCATCTCAAAACAAGTCACAAAAATACACCAGTATATACATGTCTATTTTATGGAATGTATATTATCATACATCCTCTCACAGGATATGAAAAAGACTGAATTTAATACTAAGCTGATAATGAAGCTTAAGCACTAAGGTATGACTAATTCCGTCCACGTGCCTAAATCTGCTGTGCTTGGCACCAGGGAATGTTACAAGGTGGGGAAAGGCATGTGGACAGAAAAAAATCTAACTCTATCAAATTTCACATCAACAGAAAACAGAGCCTAGCAAAACATTCCTTTATTATATTCTGCTGGTGTTTTCTTGAGAAAATTTGAGGTGTTTCACACTATTTATACAGCAAGAAGTAAATCTTGCTGGATCCTTAAATCCGTATTGAGCTACAAAATTAATACTGCTACCAAAATACACAAATATATCAAATACTGTAACCTAGAGGAGCAGGAAAAAGATGGTCCACTACGTAACGTTTCAAGACCCCAAACAAACGTAACTCTATTGTTCCTTACCACAATATTCACATTCTAAGTCTCCATAAACCTTCCTTATCCTCTCACACAACTCTGTGTTCATTTGTCTCTTCTGCAAGCTGTCCAGGATCTGCATAAAGGCGACAGCTCCGCTCCCACCGTCGGCAGGAACTGCATCAGAAGAGGCTGCCTGAGGACCGACGGCTGCATCGGCCTCTGGCGCTGGCGAAGGGCTCATGGTTTCTGCTGCATTGGGAACTGGCGGATTGCTTGTCTCCGATTCACTAGAAGGAACAGACTGACTTCCCTCTTCAGAGACTGCAAGGTTCTCAGTCATCACACTGCTCTGACTCGGATTTAAACTTTTGTCTTCAGGCAGCAGAAGCTGAATTTCTTCACCTTGCTCATTTACAGAGGTGCAGTGATTACCTTCCTCTTCATTTGCAGGAGAAACTTTTAACTCGTCAGGACCAGAAGTACCATTTTTCAATCTGCCTCTACACAGGATCCAATGTTTGGGACCCCTATGTCTGCTGTCTGACACAGGGTCTCTGTTACGTTCTCCACTAGAGGACTTTGAAATTCTAAGGAAGGGGCTGTATCAATTTTTAAGTCACTATTCTGTTGACTATTATGGTTTACATCTGCAGCCGCTGATTGACTTTCACAAGCAGATGGCTGTGGTACGGTACCAGCGTCGGTACTCGCGACAGTCGGTTCCCCTGCACTTTGGGCTGGCTGCTCCCCCAGGGCTTCTGGCTGGATATCGCCTCCTGGCTCAAGCAGGCAAAAACTCTGATTGATAGAGCTGTTAAACACAGAAGTCTCCTGTAAATCTGCGTGCGCATCTTTGATGTGAGCACGGAGTCTTACAGAACTGACAAATTTCTTCAGGCACACGGAGCACACATACACAAACGGGTGCTTTCGAACATGAAGCTCAAGGGCTTGGTATTTGGTGGCTCCATGACCACAGAGCTCACAAGCAAAGGGCCTTTCATCACCATGAAGCAGCATGTGACGGTCTCGATCAAGTTCATTTTTGAATTTGCGTTCGCAAATATGGCAGTCATAAAGAAGTTGTCTTTTACCCTCTCGTGTCATCAAGCGAAGCTCGTCAAAAACATCCTTCACCTTTTTATCTTGCAAGTCATGTGTTTCTTTGATGTGCTTGATCAAATTTTTAACATCTGAGTATTTCTTCTTGCAGAAACGACAATGCTGCTTGATTTTCTTATGAACTCTTTCAATATGGACTTTGAGATGGCCTTTGCTGAGACAAGTGAATGTACAATAATCACAACTAAACTTCTCCCCTGTGTGCTTCCGCATGTGAACATTGAGGTTGGCTTTGATGGCACTGGCATAACTGCAGTAAGAACACTTGTAAGGCTTTTCGTTCGTATGAATCCTCAAATGTGCTTGGAGGGAGTGTTTAAATTTGAACACCTTGTTACAGTATTCACATGTGAAAATCTTCAACTGAGTTGGACCCAACCTAAGAAGAAGCCAAACCAGTTATAACATTGAAACTTGGTGACATAATGTGTCAGAAAATAATGGACAGATACGTTATTTTAAAAAGGTATTGTCCAGAGGCTTTTTAAATTCTACAACTTATGACCAGATTATTTCCAGCTGTTTCTTCATTTAAAAGGCTCAGAAAATATTGCAGTTTCAAGAAAATGCATAGGGAAGCATTTGATTCATATTTTGCATGAACACAAATATAAGTATTTCAAAATCACCTGCTTGATTTCATTGCCTGCTCATATGGGGTTTGCTGAATGGCATATTCTTGATATCCTCTTCGTTGTGATGGGTCTTGAACTGTTGCCTCTGGAGTTGTGGGTTCACTTTCTTGGGGAGCAGCCTCAACAGGCACAATTTTTGTGGCTCCTAAAAGCAGTAATAAAAAATGCTCATTAAAAAGCATCAGATTAAAACATTTGCTGTCTGTCACAAAACGTTAAACTCTGTAAACATTAGTTCAACTATTTTAGTTTCTGTTGCTAAATCCTTGTGCATAAAATGATGGAAATACTTCCAAAAGACATCAGTACTGTTTAAAAGACATCAGATCTGTTTAAATAACATGCCAGGACTTCAGGTTCTGAGGGCTATTCATGGTGTTTGATGCTTACTATTATGAGATTCTATATCTAAATACTTCCACCTTTAAAAAATAGTGACTTTTCAAAATGAAATTCTAGTTTTTCTCTTTCTGCCTCATACTACATCATTTGAAAACTTCAGCCAAGCTGTTTAATCAGTTCCATAAATAAGGCTGGAGAAAAGACACTGTTTAGTCTATACTTAAAAGTCTGCACATCTTCTTCTTAAACAGATCTTTTTCTACTTATATTTTGGGGCATGCTGCCATCCCCTCAGAATAAAACAATATGTTCCATGTGCACTTCCCAATCCTCATGAGGTGCATGAACAAAGGGGCTCTACCAAGTGCAACGGTATCTGATTCTATTTTTCACAGCTTTACAGCCAGTTAAAAATAAACATGTTTTGAGATGTGACTAAGCTGAGATTATTTAGCTGAGAGTTCTTGATTTTCTAAACAGTGGTGGGAAAAATGTAATGCCGGGGACCCATAATTAGCACTGAAGGTAAATAAAATCCATATAATTGTTAATGTATGCCAGAAAAAAAAGCAACCAAAAACCTCACGTGTATCAAACTGAGCACCCATTGCTGATTGATTTCCTCCTTCTTAACTTCTTTGTAACTCATCCAGCCACATGTTCAGTGGGAATGCTGTAGTCTTCAAAAAATGAAACTACATGTATTTGCATATTTATGTATTTAATCATACATATAAATATTTGTGAAATCTTCATATTCTACTAAAAAGACTATAGAAAAACCTTTGAGGAAAAAAATGCTTTCTAGTCTGATACTGAAAAAGAAGCAGTATGTGAGGTATCATATGCTGAATAATAAAAAGAAAACAAGACACTGAATAAGTAGCAAAAGATGAACAGCCATGCATCCTAACAAAAAAGTGTTATAGGACCTCTAATCAAAGATTGTTCTGTCATATACTGGGTACGAGGAAGCAAGAGAGGTTGCACATGAAAATAGCGTTGAATTAAATAACAAAGTTAACTTCAGGTACAACTGAAATTTGGTAATTTTCATTTTATTTTCTTTTTCTTGAATGTTACATCCATGTCTGATCTAATTTCAACTCTTCTGATTAGAAGCTGAGTGAGGAACAAAAAAGTACAATAAAGTGGAGGTTACTCAACAACATATGCGGAAGACTTGGGGACATGAAGGTGAGGAAAGCAGTGCTGCAGAGCAGACAAGAGAGAAGGATGAAGAATCCTTTAGAGCAAGTTAAAGTGGGAAACGGAGATAATTTGAGAAGAGGCCATTTGGAATTATGTAAGAATATCAAAGCTTTTTGTATAGGACGAGACATCATCCAACAACTGCTAATAGCTCTGTGACTTGCTGAATTGTCTGCATCTAAAACCGGCGCTTCTCTAACTGCTGTGGTGTTTTAATAATGTTCAGTTCTGTACTAAAGAGTCTGCCAGTTGATCAGAACTGATCTTCCAAGTTTTTAACCTAAATGTTACCAGAACATTGTAACTTCTTTATCCTCGTCACTCCTTCTCCCACAACCATCAGGCAGCAGGACCGCAGCCCCCAGTTTGCACGGCAGTAGCCAAGTGAGGTGGGAGCTTGTAGACACAGTGCAGGAGATGTGGTTTAAGCAGTGGCTTTAGTACAAGTATAAAACACATATCGGACACCTGGCGAGTGTTTCCATAGTTCAGTATTTTAAAAAAAGAAGCAAGTTCCCCTTTACATAGAATGACCCAGTTACAAATAAATCGATCTTGAACTGCTCTACTTGCAGGTTACCTCTTTGCAGCCTCCTGTTTTCCTGAATGTGAGACAAACATGTTTATTAAATGCTCTGCCCTGAACTTCCTCTGTGCTCTTCTGCCTTCTAGGATTTTAAGCATTTCCTGAAGATTGCTCAACTTTTTAATAGATTTTTGTGTCATCAGTAAAAAATTTTCATCATCTAAATTAGGTGGGCTAGAGAAGTATCAACCCACATGTATTTTTGGAGTATACACCAGTGTACTTAGAGTGGAGAGAATGCTCCAGGTCACCCCAGCACTTTGCCTTGCATTCCCCATGCTGTTAAGAGAGAGGCAAATACCTCTAAAAACCTAAAGAGGCTTCGAACATGCAAATGGAGTACTTGCTCACAGTAGGCAATCACATCCCCTCATGTTAGGTACTTACTTCCTAAACTTAGAAGATACGTAAGTACTACGAAACATTAGATGCCTCCATCCACTTGGGCTGCAGCCTGAGTCCAGGCTACTAAGGGACCGACAGCCACAGCAATCACCGCTGTATCATTAACGAAGAACTAAAGCATATGCCCAGAAAGTGAGAAACTTGGTTTCTAGACTCTGCCCAACCTAGCTGGCAGTGAACCCACATGTCCCACATCTGCCGTCAATATTCAAATATGTGAAAGCAGCCATGGGTTAGGGAAAAGTGTAAGAACAAGGCAAACAGATACAAGATCTTGTTTTCCATTAAAAATACTACATATCTTAAAGAAGGTAAAAGTTTTTGTAACTATTGCCCTGAACAATCATTTCAAGAAGTGAGAGTATACAAATACCACAGGAGTAAAAAAAGAAGTTAAAAGTAGTGATCATTTCTTTCACAAAAATCCTTCCTGCAGCACTATTCTATATTTTAAATGTAGAAGGGACTTTAGTTTACTAGACTTTATTTATGCCTTTTGCTTTCTTCTTTTCAGTCCATATCATCTGTTCTATGTAAATCTGCACTAACAGTTACAAGATTTGAGTTCCTCATGACATTCTGACATCAGCTTCTACAGATAAGCACTGCCCAGCTTGTCTTATCTCTGGCTCAAACTCAGTGATGGACTCTAATCTCTGACAGTCTGTCCCTTAGAAAAGAAGTTTGCCCTTCACTATAAAGCTCTCCAGTACTTCTCAACAGTGTAAAAGATAAACACAAGGAAGGAATTACTAGGAATGGATCAAAAATAGAACAGAAGACATCATCAACCAAAATTGGGTAGAAGTGTTAATCTGCTCAAGAGTAGGAAGGCTCTGCAGAGGGACTTGGACAGGCTGGATCAATGGGCTGAGGCCAGTTTTATGAGGTTCACAGAACCACAGAATGTTAGGGGCTGGAAGGGACCTCAGAAGATCATCTAGTCCATCCTCGATCATCTAGTCCAGCCCCAACAAGGTTCAACAAGGCCAAGTGCCAGGTCCTGCACTTGGGTCGCAACAACCCCCGGCAGCGCTACAAGCTTGGGGAAGAGTGGCTGGGGAGCTGCCTGAAGGAAAAGGATCTGGAAGTGGTGGTCCCACAGTCGGCTGAACATGAGCCAGCAGTGTGTCCAGGTGGCCAAGAAGACCAACAGCATCCTGGCCTGTATCAGGAATGGTGTGGCCAGCAGGAGCAGGGAAGGGATTGTGCTCCTGTACTCGGCATTGGTGAGGCTGCAGCTTGAGCACTGTGTTCAGTTCTGGGCACCACAGTACAAGACAGACATTGAGGTGCTTGAGTGGATCCAGAGAAAGGCAACAAATCTGGTGAAGGGTCTGGAGAACAAGTCTTCTGAGGAATGGCTGAGGGAACTGAGGTTGATTCGTCTGGAGTAGAGAAGGCTCAGGGTAGACCTTATCCCTGTCTACAACTATCTGAAAGGAGGCTGTAGTGAGGTGGGTGTTAGTTTCTTCTCTCAACTAACCAGTGATAAGATGAGAAGAAACAGGCTCAAGTTGCCCCAAGGGGGTGTTAAATTGGATATTAGGAGAAAATTCTTTACTGAAACAGTGGTAAAGCATTGGAACAGGCTCTCCAGGACAGTGGTGGAGTTACCCTCCTTGCAGGTGTTCAAAAAAACATGTCGATGCAGCACTTCAGGACACAGTTTAGTGGTCAGGGTAGTGTTGGGTTGACAGCTGGATTTGATGATCACAACATCACAGAATCACAGAATGTCAGGGGTTGGAAGGGACCTCAAGAGCTCCACTAGGCCAGCCCTCCTGG